CACTTCTCTTTTTGCAAGGGAAAAACACCCCCAAACAACGGCCGCCGTATGCCGCGGTTGGAAAACCATAGGATAGCCACCTGAAGGAATTGTCATAGGTCAATCCAAGAGAAGACGTTCAGGCAACTGGGACGGACCAAAATGGGCAATGGGCCTTATTGGTTTCGGCAAGCTTGTTTAGTCATGGCAACCCAAAAGGTGTTTTGGCTACAAGTGCGTGGTTCCGAAAAATAAATAAAGTGTCCGTGCTTGGTGCGCTCTTGTGAATCCGAAGCATGCGTTTCGTGGTCAAGCAACGATTTCGTCATGAATCCTGTTTGGTCAAAGTTCCCCTAGGTTCCCTTTGCCAGGGACCAACTTTCCATGGCGGGTCGCAGTGTCAGGTGAGTCGGTTTGGGCTGGGAAATTTGGGGCCTGGCACGGCGGTTTTGGACTGGCGGTTTGGGGATGTACACTTTGCCTTTGCGGGTTGTGCTCCAACTGTATTTGTTCCCTGGGCGGAATCAACAAGTCCCAACTTGTTTTGTCGATTTGGTCAAGTTGCATGCTGAATTCCCCCTCCAAGGAAGGGCCGAATCACGACATCGCGGCCTGGTTCAGATCGCCTCGAATGGTGCAACTCACTTGGCGGATTCTGACAAGAAACAATTGAGGCTGGGGATAGGATCTGGGTGTGTTTAGCAAGGTATGGCGAATTTTAGGGTGGCTGTAGGGTGGATTTCGGGTGGATTTAGGGTAGAATTCGGTTGGGTGGGTGTGCTTGCTCGCTTCTTGGCTGAGACCCTGACACCAAGGAAACTCCAGATAGGGCCGGGCAGGGGGTTGGGGGTACCCTGTTTGAGTCAAACATGCTGCGTCGCCTGGTGACCCGCTCCCCACTCAAAAAGGGCTCAAAATGTCTGTTGTCTGCCGCCATCAATCTCAATTACTGGTGTTTCCAAAAGGGTGCGTGTTTAAACCACCCTTGATGGACCCTACCACAAGGAAAATCTGCTCGATCCCTATCATTCCCTAACACCCCAAAAGGGAAAACTCTCTGGCCCCAGAAGTGCGGTTGCCCCCAGGGAGATAGCGATGGAACCCTGGGGTTCCCTGAAGGGTTCGCGGTCGGAGTCCTGTCCCATCCACTGGGAGGCTGGCGGCACCTTGTCGGAGCGCCAATCCGCGGCCACGAAGCGCAGGGCCGACGCGTCTCCGGGCCAGTCCCTGACCCAAAACCAGCCCCAAACCCAGGGGCGCTTCAACCAGGGGTGATGTGTCCAACTTGTTCTTTTTTGGACGGACGTAGCCCTCTAAAAGCTAGCGCTGGCAGTTTGAAGGAGTCCAACTGTGGGACTTGAAGGGGGACAATGGGGACATTCGTAGTTGGGAACCATAAAGTCCTGGAACTTGGAACCAGAGTTGCTCACCAAGCTCCCTGCCGTCGCAGCTTGCCATTCGGGGCTTCCATTCGAAGGAAAAATCCGACAACTTGTGCGATGCAAAAAGGCTTTGCGGCAACAGATTGCCGTCACGATGTGATTCATATTTGCAACCAGCATTCGTTGACACGCTTGGAGTGTCCTGCACATGCAGCATGCCATTCACTTTCCATCTCTTTCTTCCCGCTCCTTTCACTCGCTCACATCCTTCCTTCCTATCTCTTTCCCTTGGACTCGCTGACGTGGAAAGGCGAGAGGGAAAGGAGGAAACAGGCAGTCTGGTCAAACTCTCGTCTTTCACTATCCCATCGTGGCTGTGACCCGACAGTATCGGTTCTTTGTTTCCCCGGGAGAGAAAATTGATATCAACTGCAAGCCGTTGGGTTTCATCCATTGCAAAAGACCATGGGATCGGTTCGCGCCCTTGACCCGCGCCTGGCGGCCGTTTCCATGCGCTGCAAGGCCTCCCGGCCCTTCGCGGCCGCCCATCCCTGGCTGCCGGAGAGAACCACCACCCGCCTCTCCGGAAGGCAACGCAAGGACCTTCCGGAGCACCGCCGCGAGAGGAGCCACCTGTGGAACCGATTTGCTGAAGAAAACTGTCTAACATGACGTGGAAAATCAGAGGTCGCCTAATGAAAACTCGGCTGCTGAAGTAATTAGCTCTATGAAAATCAGACATGGCAGGAGAAATCAGAGAGTCCCCTGCTTGTGCTTGTGGTTGAAACTCAAAGGCTCGTCCCTGCACAAGAGCCGGCTTACGCGGTGTGGGGAACGGGTTGCCCCGAAAGCGCCCAAGGGCCGAACCCTGCCTCGCCGCGTTGGCTGCCGCTAGGCCGTTTGACAGCCCGATCCGCCAGCCGCAAGCACCGCGCCGCGCCCCGGCGCGCCCGGCCCGCCCGGCATGCTCGGCGTGGCCGGCGCGGCCGCGGCCGGCCCAGCCGGGATGCGAGGCGCATCGCAGGGAGGGCAGCATGCACCGGTGAAGAGATGAAAAGTCCGATTGAGCGTCTAATCCTAAATCCTGAACCAAAAAGAAACCCACTTCAAGGTGGCTAAAATCCTCCCTGAAAAAGCTACCCATGGAACCTCTTGGGATCAGACCCGTTCAACGGGGTGAATCTTCAGATTCAGGAAACTCCCGCGATGCAGGCCACGTGGGTCTGTCAATTTTGGAGGCTTCCTTTTCCGGGGTTGGTTTAAAAGGAAACCAATTACAAAGTAGCCAATCATGTTTGGGTCTCCCAATTTTGAGACAAACCCAGTGAAATCACCCAAGCGGTGTAATTCATTGGGGACTCCTGGTGTGGGTCGAGCTTCCTGAGCGTTACATTTGCTGCAAACATCCTGCGTCGGGATGGGATGCAGCCACATGCGTGGTCCTTCTCTGAGCATCTCCCTTCTCAACTGCTGGGGACTCCTTCCAGCTGCCAATCAAGCCCAAATCCAGTCGGCAAAATCCATCTTCTGCGTCCTGCTGCCTCCAACCGGAAAGGAAACACTCTTTGAGTCTCGTATGGCAACCCAGGATTAGTAAAGACTGGCTGCGTTCTTTTTTGTTTCTTCTTCTTTCTTTTGGTGGAGGGGGAGGCAACCCTTTTTTGGGAACGTATGAATCACGTCAGCAGGAAACAGGCTATACCTTCTTCCTCCGCCGGCTTCTGGTTCGAGCATCAACACTACCTAACAGGCTAAACTAGTTGGAGGGCATGTGTCATTTGCCCATCCACACTTAGGCGAATGCAGGACTGCTCTTCTTTTGCCCGCACGACTCATAGCGGTGACCTCCCGTTGGGAACGCATCAGAATGAACTGAGTCTACAAACGGATGTGCCTCAAGGAATCTTCGGATCCAGCGGGCAAATGCTGCTGTTGCTTGATTTCCGCACACTGGGGTTGGAGGATACCCACTGCATTCAGCTTCTGCTGTCCCAGCCGATGCCAATCCAAGCCCAACTCTGTGTTCGGAGCCGCATGGTGGGTTTGGCTGGGCGGCAGAACTGCTGAGGTGTTGGTCCTTGTTCAGCCCTCCCAAGCCTGGTCAGGTTGCTTGACCGTGGCACACGGGCCACCTGTCACCACCAAAACCGGCAGAGTCCCTGAGGGTCGATGCCGGCTGGACAGCGCCTTCACATCTGCAGGCTGCCCGCTCCTGTCTTGAACTGGCGAGCACATCCTTTTGGATGGCATCTGAAGGAAACCAAGCAAAAAAACAACAGCCAGCTTGGGACCCGCCCCTGTCAAGGCTGAATAGGTGAACCCGCAGATGAACCCTGGATATGAATTCGCCGTAAATTGAGGCTCAATTTTGGGGAGGCAGCCGCCAAAAAGTGCCCGAAATGGCCTTGGGTTTGGGTCCATATGGTGGATGCCCTAAACATTGCAAGTAAGGGAACAAGAAAAACGATTTTACCCCCAATTCATTCTCGGTGTAGTTGGTTTGCTTTAACCGTACCGATGGGGGTCATCGTTATGACTCATTTTCTTTTTTGTGTCTTCATTTTTTTTTCTTTCGGAGATTCCCTTGGCCCTGCGCAGAAAGTGGCCAAACCGTCCGATCCTCCACATGGCCTTCCAAGCCGCGAGCAGCCCATCAAGGGCGAAGAAAGAAACCTGGCCAACTTGCACGTCTGTGTGGGGAGGAACGGGGTGATAAACCCAAGCATCGACCCGCGCAAAGTTGACAAAGGTTTGGTCAGCGGTCAAACTCTGAGCCGCGTAGAAGGAAGGGCGAGATGTCCGTCACAGAGTCCTCAAGCCTTCTTGGTCAATTCTTCGACCCGTGCGCCTCACTGGAGCGGCAGTACACATACCAAAGCCGAGCGCGCAAGTCCACCCACCCCTTGACGCAGCAGCGAAAGCGCACTTGGGATCAACAGCCGAAACAGCCAAGCAGCTCGTTTGTGAAAGGAACAACACCAACACGACTCAGCTCAGCCCGGGCCAGACAACGGCGGCTTTGCATATCATATGGCTTGTGGCAAAACTAATCAAGGCCACTTGCAAGAACCTTGCGGTGGGCAACAGGATAATTATGCCGTGGCGATGCCAGCGATGGTTGGTGTTCCACTTTTCGGCAATCTGGTCATGGAGCAGGTGGATGGTGTTTACGCGGCCCTGAAACTCAGGGCCTTGCCGTTCCTTGCTGCAAGGAAGGGCGCGGCGAGCGGGAAACGGCTGGTTCGTGAACAAAACAATGTTTGGACAGAATGGACAAGGAATCACCCAGAAGACAGCCACTTTCACTATCCTTTGGGGGTCGGTTTATCGACCAAATGGATCCCGAAGCCCATCTTGAGTGTTCCCCTATTGTGCACGCCTCACGTCTTCAAGCATCGCAGGCTGCCTCTTTTTGCGCCCGCTTCTGTCGGACGGCACTCAAGAGAGAGAGACCTTCAGGGATCCGTAAACAAGAGGCAAATCTAAAGAGAGTGAGAACGCAAAGACTTCCGACAGCGGCATATGGGTTTGCCTAGGCTGGAACCCCCAGATTTCTCTTGTAAAACAAACTCCAAAAGGGTAACGTCAAAAAAATAGAGACACCAAAAACAAGTAGGAACAGCTGGCTTGTCCTTGGCAAACCTGGGCGACCTCCGAAGACAAACCACCGCCGAACCACAAACAACCTGCTCTCATTTCGTCTTCTGTCGCTTCGCCCACACGCTGTCGATGTCGATGAGGCCGGCTTTAGCCAGGGCTTTGGCCTCCACCGAAGACACCTGGAGCCATGGAAGCCGGGTGAAGCCCGCCCCCCCCCCCCCCCCCGCCGGAAAAGGTCGTCGAAATGGGATCTCAAAATTAGGGAACGGCTCAAAAAGTGGCTCTGTTCAATCATCCTTTTTGACCCCGATGGCTTGCCCACAACATGGGGGCGGGTTTCTTTGGCTTTCAAAACGGGAAGCCAAGTTGCTGTGGTTTAACATACCATCACCACCACCACCCCCCCACAAGAAAAAAAACAACTCAACAAACAAACAAAAAAGCACAGGAGCAAGGAATCCCGAAAAGAAACAGAAGGCCCCACCCCACCCCACCCCAAACCCCAAAAACCCCCCCCAAAACCGCCCGGCCTCCAGGTAGCCCTGGGAGCTGGCCGGGTTCAAGCCCGCCGAGGCTTCCATGGAGCTGTCCTCCTCGAAGTAGACGCTGTGCGGGCACTCCGTGAGGGCCAGGAAGAGCATGTGCCCCTCACACCAGGGCGTGGAATCGCGGGGGGGGGGGGGGCGGGTTGGGGCTGGAGGGGGGGCTAGGGGGAGGGGAGAGAGAGGGGGAACTGGTATCGTCCTACGTCTCCTTGCAACAAAAGTGAAGCCGATCAAACAATTGGTCCAGTCGGAGAGGAGGGAGATTGGGGATTCAAATCCCAAGGTCAAGACATTCCATTTCTCAGGGAACCCAAAGGAAAACGCGCCCCGTCCAATCAACCCGTGAGACAGACGCATGCGGGTCTGTTGCTGCGTTTCCGGGGGAGGTTGCTGTCAAGGTTTTGTTTCAAGGGGAAACCAAAGAGAGAAACTACGAAATTGGAATCCCAGGGGCCAACCACCGAAAGCAGCAAGTCTCGAAGGGAAATGGGCCCCTCGAGGGAGAGCTCCTTTATCCTTAAGGTCTTAAGGTCGGGTCTTTTTCAAAAACCACAAGGACTTCGGTATTTGATCTCCAAGGGCCAGCCCCAGAAAGTGGCAGCCCAAAAGAAAGGGTTTCCGTGTCGCAGGGGCAGCAAGTGGTAAGTTGGCAGCTGCAAACCTCGCCAAACGAAAACAAACGGCTACCAAACGGCACCACTTGACAGGTAATCCGGACAATCATGAGAAGTGTTCCTCTTCAGAGAACCATGACCGTGGCCACAACTCCGTGGCGCCATAACTCGATGGAGTTTTATACGCTTGTCCTGGGTCAACCGTTCTGACACCGCCAAGTGCTTCGCACATGCCTGGCGGCCTCTCTGGCAGCTGAACGTGCCCATTTGTTCTCTTTGCGGGTTCAGTTGTGGTTGAAGACAAAGACTACTTCTTCCACTTCAACATGCAAAATGCTCTGTTTTTGCATCTGGGGATCTTCAAAATCATCTTATTTTGGATTCTATTCAACAATGCAACGTTATTTTGAACCAACTTCAAGCACTTCTTCACAAGGTGTCTGGGTAGTTGTCTCACCCCCCTTTTGCCTCGCATCAACCGGCAAACGCACAAGAACAGTGACCGAAGACAGTGGCCCACGAAAGGAGCTTCGAGCTCGGCGCATATGGGACCGCCCAGCATGGTGTTGGTTTCGTTAAGAAAGGAAAGAATAAGGGCTTCCCGTAATGGTGAGAGGTTTCTGTTGATTGCCACCCCCCCAAACCCCGACATTAAAGTATATAGGGGAAGAACTCACCACGCAAACGGCCACCAAGCCCCAGCCAAAGCAGCGTTTAGGCCATGGAAAAACCATACTCCCGACGGTTGCTGCTTTCTGCCAGGGAACACCAAAAGGGAACCCCCATGTTCAGCTTTTCCCCTGTTTGTGGGAAATTGGGTGAGTCCCCATGTCCTTCGCAGATGAAATTAACCATACCCAGTGCTTCCAGTTGCCACGATAGTACGCCACCAGGGGTTCCCCATGTTGCAAAACCCGGACATAGCCATACCGATCGGTTACCTACTATAGTGGCGAAACCCCTGGAAGCACTGGGATAGACTCTTCGTTTGACTGATCTCCAAATCCGGGGCCTTGTGCAGGCCCAGCTTCACCGTTCCCGTGGCTGGCTCCACCAGTTGCCACACCGCAGTGAGCGCTGCCCGCGTGGAGGGGTCAAAATATCGGCCGTCGTAGATCTGGTCCGAGATGTGGGTGCTTAGCCTTGCATGAGCCAAATGCTGCCATCGCATTTCCACTCCGGCTCAAACAAGTCCCAATACGCGCTGGTATTTCTCTACCTTCCCCTCTTTGGTTCCGTCCCTTTTGTCGTTTTAAGCCTTTGTTTCCAGCACTGATTGGCGCGTACCTCCCAGCTGGTGAAGGGGCAACCCGATCCGAGGCGCTGCCGGAAGAGTGCCGTGGCTCTTCGGTCCAACACCGCCATGTACACGCAGGACACCGCGTGGCCCAGGAGCGTCATGCCCGGGGCCTGGGAATGGCCAAAACGGAGATGGACCTGTGGGGAACCCACCCCCAGCCCAACAAAAAAAATGAACACGACAAATCTCAAAAGAGACACCCTCCCTATGCTCTCTCGCTCTCTCGCTCTCTCTTTCTCTCTTTCTCTTTCTCTTTCTCTTTCTCTTTCTCTTTCTCTTTCTCTTTCTCTTTCTCTTTCTCTTTCTCTTTCTCTTTCTCTTTCTCTTTCTCTTTCTCTCTCTCTCTCTCTCTCTCTCTCTTTTTCGACCACAAATGTGAACGGTCTCCAGAAGGGGTTGGCCCTCCAGGCCGATAAGAGAAAAGTAGACTTCCACCACACTGCCCTTTGCTTCGCACACGTGAGAGGGAGAAGGACCACACCATCGAAACGCTCACCCACACGAGATCAGCCCAGACTGAGGTAGGGGGGCCTCTCTCATTTTTCACCCACTTGTTCGAGTCGCTATGGAAGTAGGAGACCCTTTCTGAACAAAACAAGAGTGGGCCAACCAAAAATACAATGACACGCCCAAGTAAATGGACTTCAAACATGGCAAAGTTGGAGAATCTAATTTTACTGGGGGTCCAAAACTATCTGGAAAGGAAGGGCCCAAGGGCCAGGGGGGTGGGCTGGAGGCGGGATTGGGATGACATTGGGGTGTTGGGATATTGGGGGTGTTCTGGTGTCAGGGTATTGGGGGGTTGGGGTGTTGGGGTGTTGGGGTGCTGGGTTGTTGGGGTGTTGGGGTGTTGGGATGTTGGGGTGGTGGGGTGTTGGGGTGTTGGGGTGTTGGGGTGGTGGGGTGTTGGGGTGTTGGTGTGTGTGTGTGTGTTTAGGGAATTTTGGGAATTTGGTGAATTTGGGGAGTTTGGGGCGCAGGTTTGGGTTGGTGTGTTGGGTGCAGGGGGGGGGGGGTTGTGGGTTGTGGGTTGTGGGTGTTTGGTTGTGGGTTGTGGGCTGCGGGTTGTGGATTGTGTGGGGGTGTGGGGTGGGGGGGATGGGGAGAAATGGGGGGTTGGCATGAAGTTTGGGGGCTTGGTTGGGCCACCTGATCAAATATGCTTGAACTCATATTGACCTATTGTTCAGCTGGGGGTCATTGCCAATGTCAATGGCTCAGGTTCTGAGTTCGGGGAGTTTCCGCGAGGTTCTGGAGCTGGGGATACTTCTTAGGCTGAATAACTCGAGCAGCGGCCGCTTCTTGGGTTTAAAGGGGAACCACGGGAGCCAAAAGTGATTTTGAGAGCCCTTCCATTTAAAAGGCCCAGCCGGCAAACAAAAAATCAACAAAAGCATGTTGCTTGCCCCAAATGGTTTTGGGGGGGCGCCCCTCTAACCGACCCGCGCCGCGGTTTTATGGGGTTCTCGGAATCGGCCTCATAGACGCCCCGGGACTTGGTGCCCAAAATCCGGTTCTCCAGGGCTTGGCACAGGCCCACGCCGTTGCGGCCCGCGATTTGGTTGCTCAGCTGCACCGCCTTTCACTGGGGTGGCTGGGGTGGCTTTTTGGATGCCGGGGGATGTGGCTGAATGGGTCGAATTGCATCCAGCTCCAAAAACATGCCACAGGCGTGGTTCATGTATCCACTCATTTTGCTACGAAACAACCATGGTGTTCAAACATCAACCCGTTCATGGTGTGCAAACAAACGATGATTCAAACTTCAACTTGTTCAGCTGCCCCATTTCAAAAGGTCCCGCGGCACGCTCGAAAACCCGTTCCACCCGTTCCGTCCGTTCCATCTGCCCATCCGCCTCCAGCGGCGTCACCGCCTTGCCGTTGATCTGCACGCATCTGCCCTTCTCGAACTTGAGGGTCACCTCTTCCTGCCTTCACAGAAACCTACTGTGGATGGTTACGGAATCCTCTTAGGCACCACCGTTCAGAAACACTGGAATGATTCGATTCTCCTGCAATTACCAACACACAACGGCTTCAATCGTGGTTTCAAAGTGGTGCGAAATGGTTTTCTTCCATCCGCAGTACGTTGAATGTCATTCGGGTGCTGAGAATAAACAAGGGGATGTTCGAGCAAACCACAAAGGGGCATAAGGAATCAACCTATCGGTTTCTTGCTGGCTCGACAACTGTTGAATGAGCCCCGAACTGAAGCGTCACTTGCGGCTTCCTCTAAACATCCCCCTTTTGTCTCGTGGATTTGCGTGTTTTTGCCTGTCTGGTACTTGTTTACTGCTCCCCTTCGTGCCATTCCGAAGGGGGCGCACAAGGGGAAGCGTTTTCTACACGGAGAAACTCGGATAGGGGATTGTGGAAGCCAAGATGAAAGGGGGTTACCCCGTCTGGGACCCTTAATGCCTGAAATGCACGATACCCGGGTTCCGCGTGAGCAACATATATATTTTTGTTTTGTTTAACCATTTGGAGGTTTGATGTATCCAAGTTTCAATTTGCGAGCCTAACGATCCAAGACTAGCTTGTTTCCTCATATTCAAATCCCTGATCCAGCCACCCTTTTTCCACAATCAAGGAAATGGACAAGTGGCCTGTGGAGGATGCTAGTCTGCCAACCCTGTCCACTTCCATGATTCTTGGAAAGAGGAGAAACGTTTGACCTGAACTCAACTGCCCAGTGGCCATGGGGAAAAAAAAAGCCACCCATGTTTTTGGGTTGGTGGAGTTTCAAGGGGAGCCCTTCGCCAAAAAAAATGAGGAAAACGGAAGCAGCCCACTGGGCAACGGAGGTATCCAGTCCCATGGCTTTCGTCCCGTGCGTCGAGCTTAGGTCAGTGGCCAGACTCCAAGGGGAAGCATCTTGAGCCCAAGCAAAACCAAACAGATTAGAGAAAACCAAAAAGCCTCAAGAAAGAAACAAATCTCCAGCAAACCACAAAACAACAAGTACTCATGCTGAAAGGGTTCTGGAAACATGGCTCTTGTGTTTTTTGTTGTGTTCTCGAGATGCTTTGATTTTTGTGGGTGTTCTCGAGTGTTTTGTTGGTTGTCTTTGTTCTCGAGGTGTGTGCTTATTTTTTTTTCGGTTTTCTCCACGTTGCTGGTTGGATTTCTCGCTGCTGTTGTTTGATTTGTCGGTTCTCTCGAGGTGTTTTTGTTCTCCGTGTGTGTGTGTGTGCATTTGTCCAAGTCTAACCTTGTTTCCGTATTGCAGGTTCTCTCCAGGGAAGGGGCAAGCACAAAGAAAGAAGCAACCCGCGTGTCTTTCCTCATTTGACTCTATATATATATATATATGCTACCCCCCCCCCCCCAGGGACCTACCTTTTGGTTGCCTCTCCAGTGCATGAATTGCCCATCTAGGACTGGGAGGAACGATCTCTCAACTAGGACCAGGACCAAATGAGACTAGAACCCAGGATCTCTCAACTGGGACTAGGACCAAACTAGGACTAGATGACCCACCTCAGATTCTTACAAAAAATGAACTTCAAGCATAACTTCCTCTGCAATGTCCTGTATATTTTCTAATTATTGCAGTAAACTAGGGAGCAACCTAACACTAGAACCAAGGATCTCTCATCTAGGACCAAACTAGGACTAGACCATTTAATTCTACTTCTTATAGTATTTGGATGTCAAGTATTACATTCTGATGGAAAAAAAAGTCCTGTTTAATATTTGGTCCTAACATGTAAATTCTGACTGGATATTATCCTTATTTCAAATTCAACTGTTCAGCTAGAAGTTGCATAGAACTTGACTAATATATTAACTACAATTCATAACGAACTTCCTTTGTAATGTCCTTTATACGTTCTATGTATTTCAGTAAGCGAGGACCATACTTGGCCTAGAACCAAGGATCTCCCAACTAGGACTAGGACCAAACTAGGACTAGCTAGTTCTGAAAGTGATTGAATTTCAATGTACAATGGTCTATTGGACAGGAAATCGTTTGTACCATTTAATTTGAAATAAACAATCAATATTTAAGTTCGAATCTAAATCGCAATTTTGGCTGGAGTATGTCCTTCTTGAGCTCCATTGAATTTCAATCAGAAATAAGGTCGAATTTGATAAAACATACTAAGTGGAATGCATAAGGAAAGAATCCAAAGGTCCCAAACTTGTGTCTTTCACTAGTCCTAACACTACCTTGGTCAGAAAACACCGTAAAACACAGTGTTGTAGCGTTTTTCATACTCAATTCACATCTCCACCAACGAACGCTCTCTAAATGCTCATTTGAACTTGAACAGGATTTAATTGGGACTCAATACGGAAATATTTGGTCAGAATCCTAATGGTAGCCAAATTTGAGATTGCGAGTTTAAATAGAGTTCCTTTCCCAATATACACTTGCAATTCAATATGAGCTTTAACAGGATTTGATAAGGAAAGAACCCCTATTCTCTAGACAAGTCTTCTTTGCAAACGCGAGTCCAGGCCCGAGTGAAACCCATTGAGACCGACTGAAATTTCAGTTGAGCCTGGGATCAAGATTCCCTAGAAAACTTTGACCTACAATCTTGAATGTGGGCCTAGATTGAAACAGATTGAATGAATAATCAGGACTTGGATGCTTGCACAACACTGTGCCAAAGTACAAGCCGCGCAAAGTACAATGTTGAATTTGGGTCTTGATTTAAAGCGATTTAAATCGATTTAAGTTTAAATCGGGCATGGATTCAAGATTCAAGAATCCAGGCCAAACTTTTCCAGGGAATCTTGAATCCAGGCGTCGATTTAAACCGATTTAAACCGATTTAACTTAATTCGGGGCATGGATTCAAGATTCAAGATTCAAGAATCCAGGCCCAACTTTTTCAGGGAGTCTTGAATCTTGAATCTTGAATCCATGCCCGATTTAAGTTAAATCGGTTTAAATCGGTTTAAATCGACGCCTGGATTCAAGAATCCCTGGAAAAGTTTGGCCTGGACTCTTGAATCTTGAATCTTGAATCCATGCCCGATTTAGATTAAATCGGTTAATTCGGTTTCAATCAAGCCTGAAGCTTCCAGAACATCCTTGGAAACGCTTCTTTTTCATTGCTCTCCCCAAAGCCCAAAAAAGGGTAGAAAACACTGCAAATACCAGTGAATTCATCAACAAGGTAGGTCCCTGGGGGGGGGGGGGTACCATATATGTATATATATATATATATATATATGTTCATTCTAATTGAATTCTACGTCAAGCCGTACTTGGAAAGGAATACCTTCTTACATCAACTTCACAATAATAATTCTAATAAAACAAGCTAGCAGAAACAACCGGCTTGTCTTTCGTTACCAGCTTCTATTTGAACCACAACTAAATCTAATGAGCATCCTAGATACTTGCAAACAAATTCCTATTTAAGGTTGATTCGCAATAAGAGCCATAACCGAACTAATTACAAGAAACAGCCAGCGTGTCTTTTCCTGCTAGATTCTACTCAACGTCTAATTCATGTATAAGGATAATCAAAGCGCTACTTGGAAAGGGAGGGACTCTTACGTAGAATTGGACACAACTCCTATTAAAACTTTGATCCACAAAAAAAACATCCAAAGTAAGAGTTCTGATTAAACTATAATTGGAACCCTACTTGCAAGGGACGTATAATGTACAATCTGCTTCAAAATAACAATGCAAATTGAATTCAAGCCAATATTGAAATGGAATCAGCTTTGTCCATTAGTTTTTACCTGGTTGTTCACTACTGTTAAGGGGCTTGCAAATTAGAAGAAGCAACCAGCTTGTATTCCCGTATTAGATTCTATCCACATACTGATTAAGATCCTACTGAATTGTGATCAAACTATGATTTAAATTCAAAGCGTTGCGATTTAACACGTGTAAACCAATAGAACTGAATTTGTATTTGTCCTTCATGGTCTATTGTTTTTCACTTCTTTTGAGGAGCAGGCAGATTAGGCTTGTCTTTCCATGCTGGATTATGTTTGAATTATAATTTAATACAGTTACTAATGCTAATCAGGAATGCAAAGGAAGATGCTAAGAGGATTGCAGCTACTCTGGCTTGAACGAGCAGCAGCAGTCAGAGCATGTTACAACAATCCGTGTAGATAGAGGACCCAATTGAGTGATTCAGAACTCGCAGTTACACACACTCTTCAGCAAAGCACACGTACAACTTGCTCAAAGTATCAAGCCTCAAAATCACAGAGAAAGTGCACCATCACACAGTCCCTCAGTCTCCAAAAAATGTATATGTACATATGTGCAGAAGAATTCCCCGCGTTGGCGTCTGTTTTCACGCCCCAAGCGGCTGGTCGGGGGCGTCTTTGGGCCACACGCCCATGATGGGGTTCACGATGGTGATGGGGGTCTGCATGGACTCCAAATCTTCAGCCTGAGCATCGGCGCTCATAGCTGGTGGGTGCTCTCTCAATGTGCCAACACGCTCCGGTTTCCCCTCTAAGCCTCTGGCTTCCCCTACCTAAATCAGCCTCCCTATGGGTGATTTGGATTGGCGCCCTTTTTTCCCAACCCTGCAGTACCCCTTTGGTGTTTGGTTCGGTGGTTTGGACCTTGGAGGCAGCTTGCCAGCTTGCCCATTTGGCGTCAAAAGGAACTGGGCTGCAAACCACCAAACCGCCAATCCAAACCACCAATTGAGGTGGTACCGGAGTCTCCCTTGAAACCAACCTCAAAAGTGCAACCCTCAGAAAATCACGAGAATGGTGTCAACTTTGGATTCGGATGACCTCAATAATCAGGGGTTGACCCACATTGTTTGGCAAACAGACCCCTTGAGAAGTTCATGGGTGTATCCTATTTGTTGCTCTCGAAATGAAACTGATGCATGCGATATCACCCTTGCGACGCTCGCACGTGTTTCCAGATGTCTCCCCATGAAATGGTCCTGTATATATCTGCGGCTCATTCATCTTGAAAGGGCACCATCTGGCAGCTGGCATAGGCAACTGCACACACGGCATATAACTTGCCCTGTTCTGTACATCAAGGAGGGGTGCTTTTCCTGGACATGCATCCCTGACTGTATTGAGTCACGCAGGCCAAACTGTGTGGGGTCCTTTGCGGCTTCACAGGGTGCCAGCCTCCCGAATTCAAATTAAAACTTGCCTAGGCAGCAGGGCGCTCTCACTCAAAGATGGGCCGACTCAGAGGAAAGGAAACAGTGCGGCGCCGTTTCATGGATCTGCAGGGTCTCTCCTGGACGTCCCAAAAGGTGTTGTGAATGACGAGCACGGATCCCTGCGGATCTGCTCGCACATGTCTTTGAGGCCTTGGCACATCGAGGAGCTCCAGCCTTGCATTCTCATAAATGACGGGGGCATTCTTCCCGCCATTGCAACGGCGGTAGGCGGATTTCTGTATCCGAAATGCCTCGAAGAATCGTCCCCTGACCCGCTGCCACTGGTCCCTGCGCACGACACACTGGTGGGGCGCCAGCTTCCGGCCGTCCTTGGACTGGAAGGCGCAGATCTCTTCGCCCATGCGGGCCAGGAAAATCTTCAGGTACTCCGCCAAGTGAAATGTCCCTTCAAAGTGTTCCCAATGACACAGCCCAAGACTCTGGCCAGCATCCACATAAATGCAGCTGTCAGACTGGCCAGGCACCAGCGGGGGCAAGCCACCGAGTCGAGAAACGCTGAGGCTCACGTAGAACTCCTGCTCTAGCTTCATGGCCTCGCTGGTGCTGAGGTGTTTGTAAAACCATTCGTACGATGCCTTCACCGATTCCATGAGTTGCACAAATTGGAAGGTGGCCCAAAGTGCAAACTCCTCATGCGGAACCTGCCATGCCATAATGATTCTGCACTTGCCGTTTGGGTCTGGGCGCAGCCACACCAGCCGCTCGATGTACTTGCCGGCAGCCTCCGCGCAGGTGTAGCCACTGTCTCCTTGCTGGGGAAAGTCCCTGGATGTTTTGTAGTGCATGGGAGTGCCCTTGGTGCAGGTCAAGGACACGGAGTCCTCCACCTTGCCAAAGAGAGCATTTGCCAGCCGCGAGGGCGTCCGGTCCAGGTGGGTGCGAATGATTGCTTCCCCCGGAGCAATCAGCTTCTGGAGTTCCGTGTGAACACCGGGCTGTGGGTTCAGCTGGTCATACATCGGCCGTGCCTCAGGTCGTAGCAGCACAGGGCCAGGCAGGTCAAGGCTCAGGTCGATCTTCAGAACGCGCCCGCCTGAGGGGCCCTCCTTGTGCAGGAGTGCTGCCTGAGGCCTGCCGCATGCCAGCGTCCAGCTCTTGCTGGACAGCAGGTCTGGCAGCTTCTGGAACCAATCCTCCACGGGTTCCGGCCGGAAAGGCATAGAGGAAGATGAAAAGCGATGCACTTGAGCCAAGGGCTCGAAGGTAACTAGAATGTACCTCCCACCTTGCCATGGAAAACCATAAAGTCCCCAGAGAAAATTGGTCTTCCAGGATGTCCCTGTCAGATTCCATGTTTGGTGGGAGGGTACTCCGGAGGACCACACTAGGGGTGGTTCCCCGTTTTGGGAGTATTCGGATTCGTGTGGCCTCCAGAGCTAAGATGAGTGGCAACCATGCACGTCCTGGCGGCTGACCAATTGCACCATAAATGAAAAAGACCCTTGAGAAACCACTTGCGGGCCATTCGGGACTACTGCAAGAGGATGCAGAGGCGAGTTGTAGGCCTGTGGGAAACATTCGGAAGGAACCTTTTGATCGAGTTCCCGAAGATTCTGAGGCCCTTTGTCGGACAGGGGTAAGGAGGTGCTGATGTCTCTTGTCAGGTAATGACGTACCAGGTGCCCTTTGAATGATGCCCTCTGCCGACAAGATTTCCAGGGCATCGGTCTTGGGTACCCCATCGTTTCGGCTGGTCCCTATTTGTTTCTGGTGGTCATATTGTTGGGAATGCACATGGCCATGGCCACATCATGGTTTACAAGCTAACAATTGGCAACGGGCACCATAGGTCAAGGGTATCCCCTTCGACCCCCATCTTGCAAGAAGATAGGGAACTCGCGTATTTTGTGGGTATGTGTCTCTCTTTTTTGCCCTCCGCCCCGAAAGACATGCAGCTCTCCCCCCAGTAGCGCTGCCCAATGGACCCAAATTCATGAGTCCCTTTGATCACGGGGCAACCCAGGTTGGCCACCCTGTTTCAGAAAGAAGACCTTATTCAGCCCTTATTTGGAGGAAACGGGATGAACGAAAAAACGTTTCACAAAGAGTGACCTTGAAACCCAATGTCCATCATCCAAAACCTTCAAAGTGCCTGGTTCTTTCGCGGCCCTGAGCCGCCTGGTCCTCCCAAAGCGAACCATAGACTCAAACTACATGGAAGGGGAGTGGTTCGGGGAGAAGCTTGAATCCTACCAGTACGGATTCTTATTCGAGACCCTTTGGACACCAGAATTCCGCCATGATTCATGTCCACCAACCACTTTCGAGGTTCCCCAGCAAAACAACTAGCTGTCTGGGTATCACAGTGCCGGAAGGATCATTATTTCCCTTTTCTGCTAGGCGTGTCCGTTTTTCTGTCTTCGACCGATGGCGCAACGGGGCCTCGTTGCTGAGCCCGCAGATGTTGGCGTCCGTGGAGTAGCGCTTTGAGGACTGGGACACGATCCTTGGGTCTTGGTTGAGGACTGGTTTAGGGCGGGTTCCAGGGTGGATTTAAAGCTGGTTCAGGGTTGGTCAGGGTTGGTTTCGGGTTGGTTTAGGGTTGGTTTCGGGTTGGTTTATCGTGGGTGGGTTGGTGTAGCGCTGGAATTGAGTGGCTTCAAGGTGGGTTTGGGGCTGAAAAAAAGGCTATGGATGAACAATCTGTTGTCGCATTCTTCAGGCAGGTCGGATAGCAAAGGTACTGAGGGAATGAGGAAACTTGTTTCTAAACAGATAGCCCCTTGAAAGCAAAGGGTTCGTTTGGAAGGCCGTGTTTCCCAGTACAGAAGGCACTTCCCGCAACCCTGCCCAGACCCGTTTCGATCCAATTCGAAGGAAGCATCTTACGGAACGCGTATACAAACCACTATGCCTTCGACATGTTCATGGCAAAATACGGATCGGATCCCATTTACAGACCGACCCCATTCATATTGTTGGGTCTAGGGTTGGGCGAACCCTCTTGTTTCAGCATGTTGCAACACCATTGTTTAACATCCCCCTTGAGGCTCCCCTTTCAATGGGTGGTACTAGGGCCCATAATTACACTGGGGGTGCGGGGGACTGCAAACCCACATGTAGTAATGATGATGGGAGCAAAGCCGTGGCGCTGGTGCCCGATGCCGTGCTTTTCCAGGAAGCTGAGCATCTGCGACCGCCCGGGGAACTCCTCCAGCAGCACCGGGTCGCGCCAAGGCGCGTAGACCTGGCGCGGCCGAAGTGGGACGAATGGACGGGAGCCATTCCCCTCATTCCCTCAGTCTTGGCTATGTCCTTTAGGGAAACCCTGTTTGGCTAGGGGGACATGAAAGGAAAAAATGCAAGCTTCGGGGCTTCCTGGTTTTAAGGCTAACCTTTTGGAGAACTTGTAGAAAACAAGGTGAACCCCCTAAACCACACCAAAGGAGGCTTGTTGAACGGTGGGAACCGTTCCCTTTGGAAAACAAACCAAACAAACGTAGTCGTTCCACTATGGCATACATCCAAAGAGGATTTGTGGCTCTCCAGGGTCAGCATGCAAAATTGCCCCGCGTGATATTTGGGCATTGTTGGAGTTGCTCCAGTGTCGGTAACCATTTTTGGGAACCTGCAATTGATCACTGACCCTTTTGACTGTACATGTCATGACGCTTTGGCTCAAGAGGGGGCCTCTTCTTTTGCAGCCAAACCTGTGGCGACCAAGCCATGGACACGTTTCCTTGAGGAGGAAAATCTGCGCGTGAGCCATCGAGGGTGGCTATTGCATTGGTAGCGGAGCACGTGACGCTCCAGGAAGACACCAGCTTCGGCACGATCGCGAGCCCTTTGGCCCGATCAGGGAGATCATGGATGGCAAGGAAACCGTCATGAGGAGGTACCTGGCGACGAGACTCATCTCGAAGCTGACGGGAACGGCACGGCTTTTGGCGATGAGTTGGTCGCAGTCGGAGTTTGACACCGAGGATGGCGTCGCGAAGTACCTCCGGAAGCTTGCTATGAGCCCTCTGGTTCGTCGCAGCATGTCGAATGCGGCGGCGATCATGAGCCAGTACTTCGCCTTCAAGAGGTACTTTAATGAGAAGGTGTCGGATTTCCTTGTGCGGGAAACTCTTGGGTTCGAGGAGTTTCAGGAGGCGCTCATCAGGTTGAAGCAAGAGCGGAGCGGGGTTGACCCGAGCAAGAGAACGTTTGGGCTACCTCCTCCAAGATCAGGAACGTGATGGGGAACATCAAGACTGGTGGACTCCCGATCAGTGGGATCGGTGGAGACAGCCGAGTTGATGAAAACTCGGAGGCATCTAGCCACAGGAGGTCACAGGGCTACCAGCGAGTGGCCCAAGAGGATGAAGCGGATGATGCCAATGATCCTCAAGATCAACAAGAAGCTGATGCAGCCTCACCTCAGGCTGGACATCGAGAACCGGCTGCAGCCTCACCAGTTGCGGGACAAAGTGATCCACCGGAAGCTACACCTCAACCTGGACGACAGGAACCTGCTGGAGCTGCGACAGGAGCGGCGGATGACGGTGAGGAGGAGGAGCTCAATGTGATGGACTCCTTCATCATCAATGTCCTTCGGGGATGGAGGTTGCTGGTTGCTGCGTCATTGAGCCCGGAGGAATGGAGAGACATCCTGAGCACCACCAGCGGCAGATTGGACTATGAAAGCATCAGCGATGCCTTGCAGACCTTGTGGGAAGCAGCTGACGGCCACCAGGTTTCCCTCATCGAACCCGGCACATCATCTTCATGCTGCAGAAGTTGAATCCCTCATGTCGTATGTGGAAGACGCTGGCTATGAAGACTGGGGAGATGAATGGGGCGACGGGTGGAGCAACGGATGGCAGTATCACGTCGGCTGGCAAGGCGAAGAGCCCGGTGGATGGGACGCCGATGGCGGAGGTCAAGGAGATGATGGAGATGATCCTCGACTACAGGAACTTCACAAGGTCGAGAAGGATGCCGAGCTCATGGCCATGGAGGCGAAACGGACGTGGTCACAAGCACAGCAGGCCACGGCGGCCATGAGGCGGGAGCGTGGGTTTGCCACGCCAGTGGTGCCAGGAACTAAGGGGAGCAGTGGTTGCTTCATTTGTGGGGCAACCACATGGCCCGAGAATGTCCAGACAGACAACATCCGGGTGTGCGAAAAGGGAAAGGTTTTGGTGGAAAGCCATATGGAGGCAAGAGTCCGAGCAAGCACGCAAACTTCATGGACTCGGACTGGCACTGGGACCTTGCCATGCACAAGGGGAAGCAAAAGTCCAAAGGCGCGAACTGGGCGAATGTCTATGATGCTGCCTACGCGTACCCCTTTGGCAAGGGCAAGAGCAAGCTCAAGAGCCCGAAGAGCGGGCAGGTCAATGCCTACATGGCGGACTACTACGGTCTGGAAATGGCGGTCGGCGAGTGTGCTCACGGTGACTTACACGCAGCTGAAGCAAATTCTGCCCGGGTGAACGCTGAGCGGAAGCCCAGCCAAGGGATGCTGGACACCGAGGCCACAGCAAGTGCCGGCCCAGGTGTCGTTCCGCTGATCCAAGCAAGATTGACCCGAGCCATGGCCCAGATTTTCGCTTCGGGTCTGGGAAGTGGAGACGTGGAGAATATGATGATCTTCAATCCACTGCAGGAAAACTAAGGATTTGTCCGTGTATGTCCTTCCCAACCCCAGCAACCAGGATAGTGAGAGCCGATCCCTTCTGGTACCTGTACTTGTTGGTATGGACTTTGCGGGAGACAACGGTACGGCATGGTTGTGGATCTGGTGGATGGGAAGTGTGTGTTCTCGTTGATCGACCCCCTTCAGCACTACACCCTCCAGCAGAACACTAAGGGACACTACATGGTGGATCTTGTAGAGTACCTTACAGGGAGAATCTCCGTGCCGCATGGTCATGCGAACATTGCTGAATCGGTTGGATCCGGCAGCGGATGGGCTCAGACAGATGCGAACCGAACCTGAGAGCCCCTTGGAATCCTCTTCCGCGACAGCGCCGAGAGTAAATCATGGCCGTAAAGTCGCCGGATTACCTGGAGGTGCTGGTGAAGCAGATCGCGAAGGAGAAGGAAGGGAAGCAGCTGGAGAAACACCGACGATGATCCTGGACGGGATCCTCGAGCGTCAGACCAGCAATGGCCGTGCTTTGGAAAGCACGAACCGATGCGCTTCCGGGCAAACAAGTGGGGAGCATGGATGCATTGCAGCCAATGTGCTCTTCGATTGGTCTACATGCCCAAGAAGGGATCGGACCACACGGAGGTCAAGAACCATCAGGATGTGCTGAAGGCGCTGGAATTGCTGGAGACGGACTTTGCAACCATGAAGGGCGTTCTGCCGACGGAGGAGATGGTCAGGGTGGCGATCGACAAGCACACCACAAACCAGCGTTACGCGGATGTGCTGAACAAGTGCAAGGCGCAAGCTACAGCGGTGAAGAAGGTGAAGGAGAAGGGGTATCAGACGACAGCCTCGGCACCGAGGTCCCCTACAAGCGCCGGAAGTTCATGGGCGATGCCAGAGGAGCCAGAGACGCCCACCTTGGAGCAACAGATCATCAAGCACTTCACGGCGGAGGAACTCGCCAAGCTCAAGGAGGTGATGCGAGAGCGGGCGATGAAGGCTCAAGAGGATGCGGAGATGCTGACCACGGAGCTACGGAAGATGTCGGCGGAGGAGAAGTGAAGGACATCATCCCGAAGTACGTGGCCAGCCAAGCCCTGGAGATGCAGAAAGATGCGCAGCGCAATCTGGCCATGAGTGCGCAGGAATTTCTACACGGAGAGGAGGACGCTCTGTGGGAGTTCTTTTGCGCTCCAAACAGCTGGCTATCTCACGCTGCGGAACCGAAGGAATACAGACTATGCGAGTCAACTTGGCGAACGACTTGGACCTCTACAAGCCCGAGACCTATGAGGTGCTGGCGAACCTGGCGGTGATTAAGAAACCTCGGAGACTGTGGTTGTCTTATGCCATGTACGAATTGGAGCACATGGGCGAGAATGAACTACAGGGAACGTCCCGAGGTACTGGCCAAGTTTCGTCGAAGAGAGAGAGAAAAATGATGCGAAAAATGATGCGGGTCTTTGCCACTAGCTCGGCCAACTACTGGGATCAGGACAGCGGCCGGATTATTACCACGAATACCCTACGTGCTGTGATGGATGGAACGTGCAGGAGATGGGTCAGATTCAACGCATCCTGGAGTAGTTCGGCTACCGCATCTACTGGTGCCGCATCGATGGTTTGCCGGTACAATCTCCGCACGAGAGATTGAAGGCAGATGCTGTGAATGCAATGGACCGTCATGACCACGGATGAGCGCTTTTACGCGACGTTCAAGAACAAGACGTGGGTGGGAGGTCATGATCATGGAGAGATCGCCGGTGGGGAGACAGCCGCTACGGCCTACTACCCCTGGAACCTTTGTCGCAGCATTGCAAGGCTTTGAAGACAGCAGGAGGTACCTGACCGAGTTCTCAAGAAGTTGTGGATCAAGGAGGACATTGACATCTCCAAGGAGGAGTACTTGGAGATCGTGTTTCATGCGGCTGAGGAGGAAGAAGAGCCAAATGAGGACATGCGAGAAGAGAGCCCAGTTCCTGAGCTGGTGCCTACGGAAGCTGAGAAGGAGATTTGGCTCACCAAGGTGAAGAAGTTTCATGCCGCGGCCCGCAACTTGGCCCGGATGGTGCGAGATGCAGGAAGACCAGCGTGGCAGATTCGCATGGTCATGGACTTCAAGTGTCCGCAATGTGAAGCATTACGACCTGGTGGCAGCAGCTCGGGACAGGTTCCGCCGGCATCGACAAAGCCCCTACCAAAGGCGTTCCCAGGTTGGCATAGACATTGCGGAGTGGCTACCGCCGAATAGCCAGAAGTACAAGTTCATTTTGTACATGGACATGGCCACTGGCCACGAAGTACAAGGTGGTCCTGAAGGTCTACAACTTGGACCAGCAGCAGGCAGAATCGGCGGAAGACGTCATCGGAAGTGTCATCGAGAGTGCGATCAAGGATGTGAAGAACACGGCTACCCTCATCCAGACGTCCTTTGCGAATATGGAACCTGGAGTATGCATGTCGATGGCGGCAGCGGGACTCAATGGCATGGAGTTCGTGGAAGGGTACATACAACCCTTTCCAATGGGCGTTTGGCAGAGGCTAGTCGCTCTCGGAGGAAGATCTACGGACCTTTGCTGGCCTAGATCCACCCGGACTACAACAAGATCATGTGCGGTTGGCGACGCAGAGGCAACAGGCGGAGGACTGTGCGAGAAGGGCGAAGGCACTGCGAACCTTGAACAAGCTGCAGAACTCCAAGGTCAGGCAGCCATTGAGGGACTTCTGGCCTACGCAGTGGGTGAAAGTTTGGAGGAGGTACATGACCCACTTAAGTACCACAAGGGCAAAAGGCAAGGTTTCAAGAAGACGGCCAAGCCCAGATGGATCGGCCCAGGACGTGTGCTCTTTCAAGAAGTACTGGTGGACCAGGAGACGGATGACGAGAGGAGACACATCGTCTGGGTGGTCATTGGCCGCACGATTATGCGATGCTCAGTTCACTCCGTGAGGCCGCTGACGGAGGTGGAGCAAGCTGTGGAAGAAATCAGTAATCAGGTCAATCCAATGGAGTGGAAGAGCATGTCCGACCTGATCCCCCAGAAGGAGTACGTGGACGTGATTCACGAGGAGCCTACGGCAGAAGATGAGGAACAGGTGGATCTGCCGAAGCAGCCGGATGCGTCAACGATGGCTCCGGCACCGGGAAGGCGTTTGAGGTGGAAACAGCCAAGGAAAGCGCCAGCAATCTCAGAGAACAAGGAGACGGTAGATGTGAACGACTACCAGCCACGGTCGCTTCTGGTGGACGACGATGCCGACCTGGAGGAAGACACGGGCCTGGCCTTTGACCATTGGCGGTTCGTCTTCGGCTAGACCGCTGCTACAGGGCTCTGCCGCGAGGGCATCGACTACGGCTGTGGAAGAGCCGAACGAGAAGCGACAAAAGACCGATCACGGAGATGACGGTGATGCGTCAGTGAAGGATGAGGAGTCCCTGCACGCGGAGCTCTTCAACGGCTTGGACCAGGTGAATGAGGGCTATTGGATAGAGCTTGACCTGGACTTCGTGACGCACCGCGAGACACAGAGGTGGTCTACAATCACCTCTCGGAGGACAACGAGCTGTTCGATAGGGCCAAGTCAAAGGAAGTGAAGAGCTTCCTAGCCCAAGAAGCGGTGCGGAAGTGCCTGAGCAAGGCGGAGGAAGATGAAGCGCGCCAATCGGGCAGAGTGCTCGGATGCAGATGGGTGCTCACATGGAAAACCATTCCGCCGGAGGAGCAAGAGGAGGCGCAGAAGTCCGTGAAGAGTGATCCCTCAAGCACTACCATCACCAGAGATGCAGCCAAGAAGGCGAAGGCAAGGATCGTCCTTCTTGGATTTCAACATCCGGACCTGCTGAACGAATCCCTGCGCAGTCCACACTAGCGCGGTACCTGACCTTTCAGCTGGTGGCTCAGCGGAAATGGGATTTGGAGGGTCTCGACCTCTCGACGGCCTTTCTACAGACGTCGAAGACCATGGAGAAGGAGCGAGTATGGACGACGGGGACACCGGAGCTCAAGGAGGCTTTGGGCGTGGACAGCAACGGCCTTCTGCGGTTTGGTGAAGGACATATACGGCAGCGCTACAGCTCCGAGGAACCTCTGGCAGGAGCTGGATTGCGAGCTGACCGGAATGGGCGGCATCCGCATATGGGCAGATTCATGCCTGTGGGATGATTTCAACCGGGGAGGTGATCTTCGCAATGAACGCTGGTTGGAGATCCGCAAGAAGATCGATGAGAAGTTCAAGCGGGGCACGGTAAGGTTGAACTCTTACCGGCACATTGGCGTCGATGTGAATGTGGTTGATCAGGGAGAGGAGTTCTATGTGGAATTGGAGCAGAAGCACCTACGCGGAGACGCTGGAGGACCTAGCCATCGACCAGAAGAGCAATGAGGAGATGACCTCACGAGAAGTGTCTCTGTGCCGCGGAGCCTTGGGAGCAGTGCAGTGGCAGGCAGTGCAGAGTGCCCCGTTGCTGTGTGCTCGATGCAACCTGCTCTTGTCGGATTTGAGCGGCAAGCCCACCATGGAGGTGGCCAAGGAGGTGCAGGACCTGATCAAAGAGGCGCGGACGGCGACATCCACCACCTTGAGGTTTCATCCCTTCAACGACGTGAAGCACTGGGAGGACATGACCATCATCGGAATGGCGGACCAGGCGCACGCGAACAGGCCCAAAGGGGAATCCACGGGAGGCCTGTTGGCGCTGGTGGGCGGCAAGGACATCAGAGAGGGAAAAATGTCTACCTTGTCGCTGGTGATGTGGCGAACGTGGAAATTGCGGCAAGTGGCCATCTCGTCGAACGACGGGAAATCCAGTCCATCCTGGAGGGGGAGGACAATGCATACCGTGTCCGCCTCATGTGGGCGCAGCTGAACGGCTGCTGTGGCTTCAACGAGTCCAAGGACATCTTGGAGGTGGCGGACGCGATGGTGATGACCATCCCCGGGTTGCTGGCAACTGACAGCAAAGGTGCCTATGATGCGGTGGAGCTGAACGAAGGACCCTTGCTTGGCCTCTCGAACATCAGGGCAGCTCTGCAGCCGTACCAACTGCGCCAATAGATGAAGAAGGTGCGCACGAAGTTGCTGTGGCTGGCCAGTGACTGGAACCTCGCGGATTGCATGACCAAGCCAAACCTGTGGCGACCAAGCCATGGACACGTTTCCTTGAGGAAGAAAATCAGCGCGTGAGCCATCGGGTGGCTATTGCAGAACCCAATCAACACCCCCTTGAATTATTCAAAGGGGGTTCCCCAAAGCAATCCCACCAGTGTTGGGGTTTGCGCCATCAAAGAAGCCCTTGTTGGTGTTTACGACAACCCAAGTGAGCCCTATTTCTTCTGTTTGAGTCAGCAGGTACCGACCAAACCCGCATGACAGCGCCTGACGGCTCTAAAGCGCTTTGCAACCGCCAACCGCCCTCACCTTGGTCTCTGTGATTTGTGGGCCTGGGCCTAAATAATGCATTTGGGGGCAGGAAAAGTCTCTGATTTACCATGAATCACCATGGTTGCCCTCTAAGTTCCCATCATTTAATCCTCATGTTGTGGTTTTTTTTGTTCCCCCGTGTGGTTGGGGTATATACTTGCAGCATGGGATGGCATCCAGTTCGCCTTAAAGGAGGGGTCCATCACGTTCACGTAGCGCTCGAACCGCACCTGGCGGATCCGTCCTTCCTTCTGTCTTTGGTCAATCGGACCCCCTTTGGTGAGTCCAGGGAGGATTACCCTTCCAACATGGAACCCACCAGGAGGTCACATTCAAGAGCTCCAGTCATGTTCCATATCACTGAGCGGGATAAATTGAGGATTGTCTTTAATCTCAACAGCCTAGAACATGGTCGAAGATAAAATACGTGCCCTTGACAAAGTCCTTTTGGGTCTATGGCTCCCTTAATAGGACCCCTTATCATGGTTGTCTAAAGTGCCTGTTAACGGCCCACTCTCCGAGAAAAGAGTTTTTTTGACTATGGCACGTGTCACCCTTGCTGAGATAAAGGATCCGTGTCAACGCGTCACAAAAACAGGCTTCCCTAAATTTCCCCTCAAATTGTTGCCGCTTCGCCAAGGGAACTCAACGACAAAAAGGTCCAAGATGGAAATATAGGGACTTGAGAAAGTGTGCCAATCGGGCGGATGCATAGGGTGATTGCTCCAAAGGTAAAGGACTCCGTCAAAACCGGGACCTCCTATTTATCCAGAAGTTCCTGAAATTCCTTGGTCCAAGTTGGAACAGCTACCTTGATGTGGAACCACCGTGCTAGGCCTGCTTTCGAGCAACTCTTGGCACCCTGCTTGTGTCAAGGAGAAAATACCAACCACCACACAAAAAAGGAACATGTCTCGGCATAGGTGGCCTTTTGGAAACATAGATGGCCCTGGTCAATGGAAGAAACCCCTAAACCAGTGCCATCTATTTTTAAGCCAACTTCAACTAGCCCAAAAAGGGACACCTATGTTTCTCGGGCGCTAGGCCCAAAGCCGTCGACGCCTGGTCGTTGCCGCGCCCCGTGGCGCCGTGGGAGAGCACGGTACACCCGTGCTTCTTCATGGTCTGCAGCAGGCCCCGTGCGGTGACGTACCGGCCGATGCCTCAGAGGCAAAAGAAACCCGGGCTGCCTTCAAATCGTGTCCTACGCTGAAGCTGGCTGTGGTTGTCAAAACCAATGGGATCCCAATTTAGTGGGGATTGGGATGTTCACTGGGGGTACGATTTGGATGTTGACCCACGGCCAGCTCTTATTTTGCTTCCCACAGGGAGAAAAATATCCCGAAGGATTGAAAGGTTGGTCTTGGGGGCGTGGTCTTGGGACCAGTGAACGAGAAAGATCCAGCATAGGGCTTGCTGTACTTCCCTTGTTCGAGGGTTGCAACAGCAGGTTGTGGGCCAACCTATAGTGAGCTTCCACTTGAGGTGATGAAGGTGGAAATACAGAGAGCCCTTTGGTACCCAGCAATGTCCTCTAGTTCCATTGCGGCCCAAGGGGTTGGCATGCAAGGCTCAGAGGGAGCTGTACTTTATCGCGTCAACATGTTGATATGTGTTTGTTGTACACCTGGTCACACACAGGAAAAAACAACACACAGCTTGACTGAGGAAAAGAGGGGTCCCCCAGCAATGTCCAAGAAGCAAAGTGAAAAGTGCTTCTCAGACCAGCAAAAAATGGCCATCAACTGAAGCTTTTGACTGAACCTCATCAAGCCTGGTAGCAGATCATTGGATGTAGCCTTTAAGGAACCCTGCACATGGATGGTGTCCAAGTGAATCCCCTCCTAGACCAAAAAGAGCACGGCGGTTTTCCTTTCAAACTCCATCAAATTTGCGATGGGGTGGCAATCAACTCCCTTCCCCGCCTTTTGACCACGGACACCAAAACCGACGCCGAACCCCGGCCAAAACTCCGGGGG